TTCTCTCCTGCCATGCACAGCAGCTGCTGCTTTGCCAGCCAGATTTCCACAGATGGAGAGGTCAGCTCTGAAACACAGCTGTGTGAGGGAGAGCGAGGGGGAGACTCATACGTGTAGCTATTCAGTGTCTCCAAAAACTCCTCTGGACTTGGAGCTGGGCCCTGGCTGTCTCTGGAAGAGGCATATTCACCAACCCTGCTTTGTTTCCAGGATGTACTCGGGCTGCAAATGTTGAGAAAATCACTGGCTTTTGCTGTGATGCAGCCACACTCGGGCTGGGAAGCAGGTCCAGATTTCTGAGATGCTCTGTAAGGAGGAGGAGGAGGTTTTCAGTTTATGAGACGTGTTCTGCCCCTAAATTATGGGATGTCATTTGTGTGGCAGCAGAGCCGTGTACTGCTGTGCCCCGAGGTCAGGATCTGGGTGCCCCATGAAGGTTTCCTTCCAGGAATGTTCTTTTTGGATGCTGGATGCTCTCAAGACATCAGTGTGATTTCCCCCAGGTCCGTGACTGATGATGGCCGCTGCTTTTTTCACAAGATTGCTCACTGATAACCAGTACCATGCTGATTTGTCTTGCACCACCAGCCAAACTCAATGCTTATCTTTTCCCCCACTGCACAGGTTTTCTGAAACGTTCTGAGATGCAGCTCTGAGTGCAACCAGCCACCAGAGGAAATTGCCCCAGAGTTAACCTTTGAGACAGGCTGAGTGACAAGTATCATTAATCAGAGTAAATAACAGCAAAAAATGATATTTACTGGGATTTAGCTCACCAGAAGGAAAGGACAGCACAATGTGACACACTGGCTCAGCTCTCCTGTGGGTGTAACTCAGTGCAGCTCTGTAGGGTTTAGCAGATTTGTACCACACAAGGCTTTGGCTCTCCCTTAAATTTCCCCTCTTCCAGAAAACTCTTCTTTTTTGAAGAAAGAAAGGGGGAAAAAAAGTCCCCTAGTGAGTGTCCAGGCAACTTCAAAGGACCAGAGCCAGGATTTACCCTGGGATAGTCAGAGATAAGGACCTGGGTCCCACTCCAGTTCAACCCTACAGCAGCCAGGGCAGGAGCAGCTCTGCTGGAACCTTCTTGGGCACTGTTCATGGCTGGTGGTGAGGAACAGATAACCAAGGGTGGTCTGTATTGGTGATGGAAAATAACTTGCTTGCAGAGACAAACAGGCCTGGCAGTAGTGTGGGGCTGACAGGAGGGGCCCCTCTCCCCTCCAGCGAGGTAACACTTTAATGGGGCTGTGTGGCTGCTGCAAGTCCCAGGTTTGCATGCTGAGCACAGGCTGTGTGCCTGGTGACAGTGACATATGGGAGACAATTAAATAACTGCATTTATGGCCAGGTTAGGGAGAGAACAGTGCCCTTACGAGCTGGGTTTGTACCGTGGCTGGTGCACAGGTGGCTGCACAGCCCGGGGTTAGGAGTGAGGCACAATTCCTGCTTGTTTACAGGCTTCTTGTTCACATCTGCCTGGGGATTTCAGAGCCTGCCCTGGAACTACAGAGCCCTCTCCATTCCTCAACCAGTGCACAGATTTGTTCTTGGTCAAAGGCTGAAGTCTGGATATGTGTTTCACCCTCCCAGGGTCTCTGAGCTCAGCTGTCTCCTCGGGCCAAGCCCAGCCAGCTGTAATTCTCCCTCTGGAGGTGGGTGGATTCAGCATTCAGGAGTGACACAGAGTGACAAATCCCTCTCTCTGTGAAGGCAACCTGCTCGGAGGTCAGGGTTTCACCTGCTGTGGAAAATGCAAGCCCTTGGGAAGTGGCAGCAGGACAGGTGGGAATGCTGCAGTGACGGGCTGGGATGCTCCTGCTGAACAAGAACCCGCAGGAAGGAGCCCAGCCTGAGCTCTCACCCTGCTCCCAGACGGCTCACTCCGAGGAGAGGGAGCCAGAGCAGCTGGACAGGCAGGGGCAGCAGTGGTGGGAGCAGCCCTGAACCATCCTGTAGCTCCTTCCAGCAATCCCAGGAGCCAAGGGCTGCCTATTTTTAGCTCCCGAGGTGGCTGAAATACCACGGTGATATTCATTAACGGACACCCTGTGGGATGGGAGCTGCCAGGCCGGGCTGGGGGGCTGGATGGGCTGGTTTGTTTTGCTCTCTTTAATTGCTGGCTGCAGCACAGAGGCCGAGCGTGGCGGGAGGTTCAGCTCCTCTCACCTCGGCACCAGCAGAGCGCCAGACCCGGGGGAGGCGCACAGGGAAAAGTCAATCAGGCAGTATTTAAAAATCTACCTGCTGGGCCCAGGGGGGGCTGGAGATTTTAATGTCATTCCCAGCTTGAGATGCAGCCTGGAGAGTGAGAAAAGAAAGGGATATCTTCTCTTCTTGGATCCGTAATTGCTCGTTAAATCATCTAACAAATGCCTCAGCTCCTGGATGGCCCCATGCTTCTTGACAGAGGGGCTTCATCCTTGGCAGGGGAGTGGAGTATTTTTAAAAACACTCATTTCACCTGCTTTTTCTGGGTCTATAAAGCTAGGAGTTCAACAGTTCACTCTGCAAAATAAAACCAAGTCTGGAATATTTTTATTACCTTTCAACAGGAGCAATAGCCTTTCCTCCAAGCCATTCCCCTGCTCCAGTCTGTTGGCTCTCAGTCTGCCCTGCAGGCAGGTGTCCATGCTGCAGGAGGGCAGCCTCACCTGTCCCCAAAAGGGACCTCCAGTGACCACAGAGGAGCACGTACCAAAATAACCCCCTGCCCTACGTGCTGAGCCCTGCTTGTGGCCCAGGCAGACCTGAGGACCATAGCCTGTCCTGGTCGCTCCCATTCTGCCCTGTCATTCACTGTTCATCTGTATCTTCTGCTCAGACTCCCCTGTGTTGGGTCTCACTCATGGGGAACTGCCACAAGCCTCAGTAATTGAAAAGGTGAGGCAGCTATTTCCCAGCACAGAAAACATGACAACTGTGCCATTCCCTCTGATGCCTCGCAGAAAGCAGCCTGTAGTTAAATCCACAGAGCTCAGAAGCAGCCCAGACCCTGCCCATAACAGCTGGAGAGCTTCAGATGTGCCATTACAGACAGATGGACAGAGGTGTGACTTATACCTATACCCCCCAGTAGTCAGGATAGCATAGAAAGATCTCCTCCTACCTGACTGAAAGCTTGGATGCTTTTCGTGCACCACCCATGCCCAGATAACGGGGCCACGCCAGACCACAGCCATTAGCGGGCTTTATGTGTTTAGAGTCTGTGAAAAGAGCAGAACTGCAGCTCCAGCAGGGCATACAGATGATTTATGAATATTCACTGAGCTCACGAAGCACTCCGGGGCAGAAAACAAGCTTTTGAAATTAACTGAACTCTTCAAGGTTCTTTGTTTGTCTTGGCTTTGAGGTGTGAGTCACCAATACTGTTTTCTCCGAAATGAGCAGAGTCTGTACAGAGGGCTGGGAAGATTCCCGGGCACTAAAATATGAAGTTAAGTACTCTGTGAGACTTTATGTTCATAAAGCCTTCAAAGTGGAGTCCACCCCATTAAGTTTTATGGGATACAGTACTGCTACATGCAGTACTGAGACTTCTTCAGCCCACAAAGGCTGGATGTTCAGGAGCCTTGAGGCTCTTTCCCTGAGCACTGAAATCTCCAGCAGCTCCAGTCTCCAGTGGCAGCACTTTGGTGCCCTGCAGTTTTTCAGCGATTTCGATGCTCAGTGAAGAGGAGTTTTGATCCTGGCTGTGCAGCCCCTGTCACACCTTGTCGTATCCACCCATGCAATTAGTGTGTAGTGCTGCTCTTCAGCACTGGCACTCCTGCACTCCTGACTGTGCCAGCACAGCAGAGCTCTGCCTGCACTGCCCCTGCCAGGCTCGTGTTTCTGGGCTGCCTCTGTCAGTCGGGGTCAAACACCCTGGAAGGTGAGGACTTGCACCTGTGTTTGGCCAGAATGGGCTCCGTTCCTGCCTGACAAGACACAAGGTAATAAAACAAGGAGGGTGTCTTCACACGTTTGCTGCACACACATCAGGAACTAGAGCTCCTCTTTTCCAGTTAGTTACAGAAATAAAAACTGGGTTTCTTTCGGCTTGTAGAAATATGAGACGTTTTTGAAGGAATGAAAGAAAAACTCTGCAGATGCTCCAACGCCCCAAGGGCTTCCTGAGTCTGTGGGGGTGTGGGAGATCCACTTCTTGCAAAGCAAGCAGAGGGGTCGTGAATTTGGGCGTCCTGCTTCTCAAATGAGTCAAGCATCAGCCACTGTGGACTGTGACAGTGGGCTGAACTCAGCTATTCCAAGGCTGTCTAGACATTCCCATCCTAACTCTGAGACATCTTCCGGGCCCAAGTTGTGTCAGAGCACTGTCCTCCAGGAAAAGTTGCTGTTCCAGTGAATCTCATTTTTCTCACCAAAGAAGATTCCATCTGAAAATGGCCAGCTGGCCCTTCCCTCACTGCCATGCTCCTTAACCATGGGAGATTCCTCTCCCTCTGAGTCACAGAGCCCCACAGCCAGCCAAGGTGGTCTGCATTAACGGGAATCAGCCCTCATGGCAGGGGCTCATAGCAAAGAACAAGAATTTGGGAAAAGCAATAAACCAGCATCTGGAAAAAATTGTTCCTGGAGTCTTGCTGCCGTCCTTTCTGGTACAAACCCCTCCTTCAGCAAGGTCCCCCACTTGGTTGAAGCAGGAGTCGTTGCAGGGTGTGTGTCACTTTGCCAACCATTCTAAATAACTTTGTACATATAGGCATTTCTTTCTGTTCCCAAGAAACTCCACACGTGTGCACTGCAGACTGCTTTGTCTGCTGGACAGAAATATTTGTTGACTTGAGGTGGGTTCCACAAACAGCCTTTTTCCTGGTGACTCCCTTACTCCATCCTCCTTTGCCCTTTCTGCTGGATCACACGGTGTGGATGCCAGAGCCCCATCCCAGGAAACACAGCCCCTTCACTCCTGATGGTTTAGTGAACTGTTTCTGAAATCTCTGGCTCCAAATCCTGCCTTGAGCATCCCTGTGACCTCTCCTTTCCTTCCACTGCAGGCTGATGCCAAGATGGTCTGCGATGTCGTAAGTCGGATGGAGGACACAGAGCCCTTCTCTCCAGAGCTGCTGTCAGCTATGATGAGACTCTGGGCAGACTCTGGGATCCAGGAGTGCTTCAACCGGTCCCGGGAATATCAGCTCAACGACTCAGCTCAGTAGTGAGTATCCCTGTCCGTGGTCTGTCACCTTGGGAAGGTGCATTTGGGCTTGCTAAAGGTTTGACTGAAGTTGGTGAGCTCGTAGCAGTGGAACTGAAGGTGTCTCTGCTCACAGACTGGGGTGTGTGCTGTGTCACAGGTTGCTGCATGGCAGAAAGGCTCAGGCAGGACATTCGTGCCCCTTTCTGGTCACTTGGGGGTCAGGTCCGTGACTCCAAGGCCAGGTTCCCAAATTGCCCCCATACAGCTCCAGGTGGGTTTCTGCAGACATGGATGTAGTGAACAGAGGCAGATCAACCCATGGGCATGGCTGATGGCTTCCCTGTCTGTCTGATTGTGAACAGAAGAGTGTGATCACCTGCTTTGTACAGCTCCTGGGTTTGCTTTCCTGATAGCTGTGCAGTGTCCTGATAGATCAGCTGGGTTACAACCAAAGGTGAGGGACCTCTCTGCTTTGCCAGTGGCATTGTGTTACTCCTGTAATACAGTCAGAGGCATCTTTGCCATCAGGGACCACATGCAGATGGTTTTTAGTGACAATTGTCTGGATCCATGGCTTTGGTTCACCCTGTCATGGGGACAGGACATCTGCCCGTAAGTGGCTGCTCTGGCTCTCAAGAGCCACAGATTGTCTCCCCAGTTTCAGTTCATATCCATCTGTAATGATGATTCAGTGGACCTGTTTGCCTCCCAGGTTGTCATCCCATAACTTGCCACATCCAGGGTTTTTGGCTTTCACGGTATCCCACACCAACAAGTTCACCAGCTGTTTCCTGCACTTCTGGAGTTCTTGTTGTGTGTCTGGATGGTTTGGCAACTCTGCTGAGGGTTTTCCTGGGTATCTGTCAAAGCATGAGCCCAGGCAGTGGCCTGGCTGCTGGGTTTGTGCTGTGTGCAGGGCCTGGTGTTCCCAGGCTGTCCCAGCTGCTCCCCTCCAGCTGGCAGGGCAGTTGGGCAGTGCAGCTCTTGAGGTGCTGCAGCAGAAGGTGAGTGATGACACATCCCTTGGCACTGATGGAAAAACGAATGGGAAAACCTGCAGATGTGTGGTTGGTGACACAGCACCCAACCCAACCACCCTCACGCCTCAGGGATGATCCTGGCATTGTGCTGCCTTTTAATCAGTGCGAGGTGGATGTCCGTGTTTAATCTATATTTCATTGCCTGTAATAGCAGAATCAGCCTTCTGTTGACAGCAACCTTTTCTTTTTTCTTTTTTTCCCACAAAAGAAGGGTATGATGGCATAAACATACCTTTGGAGATATAAATTATCTAAAATGCCAGTCCTAATTGCATTACAGCCTTGTGGAAAATTCTTCAATTGTTTTACAGCCAATTACCTTGAGGAAAGTATTTTGATTTTCCTTCCATGCGAGATAGCAGTTGAAAATAATAAGCAGAGCCCTCCCAATGTGACCAGCTGCTGGGCAATTCATCAGCAAGAGCTCTGAAACCACAAGCAGTTCCTACATATCAGCTGGAGAGGCTCTGTGCCGTGGCATCCACAGCAATTGCAGTGCGGGGTTGTGGCCCAGCGAAACGAGTTTCGATGTCTGTGACACAATCACTTGCGTCACAGAGGAGGATGCACGATCCCCCTTGCCAGGGGGGCTGTGGGCTGTGGCTGGACACTTGTTTTCCCTGGGCTAGGTTGGGCAGTGAAGCTGAAGATGGCGAAGTCCTGGTCATTCCCAGCCCTGCTGGTGTTGGGCAGCCTCTGGTGCTCCGTCAGTGGGAGCAGAGATGCTCTCCCAGAGCAGGGCTCCAGAGCAGGTCCTGCTGCACCTCCAGGCCCTGCTGCCACCACACTGGATGGGGATGCAAGTGAGAGCTCAGTTGGCACTTCTTCACACCCAGTGGACTCCCAGTGAAAAGAGGCATATTTTTCATTTAATCCTTCAATGCTTTGAGGTTGTTTTCCTTTGCATGACTGAAAGTTTTCAGACAGTTTTATGGGTTTTTTTCCCCCCACCCTGGGAAAAGGCTTATCTTTGCTGACACTGATAATGGATTTAAAACACTAACAACTACAAAATGTGTTTTCATTAGGGCTAAGAGAAATAAATTCCAGACAAGAACCGAGTCTGAGGTTCCCCAAAGTTTGAAAAGCACTGCCAGGCAGTGAGCTGGACTAGCATGGCTTTGTTCCAGGCCTCTCCTGGTGCTCAGCCCTAGGGACTGGTGTTTTGCTGGCAGGAATTGGGGATGGTGCTCCACAGCTCAGCACATCACAGAGCCCCAGGCACCGAGTGACCGTGGCCAGCACAGGTGGGACCTTCAGCAGTGACACTTCCCTGCACCCCAGAACCCCCTCCACGTGCCCCCCGAGCTTTCCCCAACCTCCCCCTGCCCAGCTGTCTCCTCAGACCCCACCTGGGCTGCTCTGAGCCAGTGCTGCTCTTGTTCTGAATTGCTCTTCCAGTGCTTTACCTTGAGGGTTTTGAATGCCTGGGACAATGGACTTTCTGTCAGGGCCCCTGGGAGAGCCAGTCCCAGGCTCATCAGCAGCCTGCAGGATCAGCAGCACAGCTCTTACCAGTCTGTCATCGATTTCACTGAAAGCAAATTTAATATTTGGCACTGGACTAAACCAGGAGTTGTAGCTCTTCTCTCCCATCAAAGATGGGCAGGAGCACATTGCTTTCTAGTCTCAGATACACACTCCCTTAACACCTTCCTGCAAGGCTTGCTTTATTTTAGGCTCTAAAGTCTGCCTGTCCTCAGCAAGGATTTTATATCTACTGTGAAGGAACAGCAGAAAACAGCAAAGAAAAAACACGACTGAGGAAGAGGGAAGGTTCTGTAATGGACCTCCTGTGCCTTGGACTGCAAACAGTAAAACCATGAGGATGGCAGGAGAAGGGAAGGGAGGAAGATGTAGCAGTTGGTTTCATCTCTTTTTGTTACTGCATTTTTTCGTAGTTCCCTGAGGCAAATTTACGGGTGGGTTGCGTTCCACATTCCTAATATCTTGATTATGTTTTTATTCCTATTTTGTCTCCTCTTCCTTTCTTGTCTCCGTGCCTAGGAGCTAAATCTACCTCTGATCATCAAAGAGTCTGGGCACTGCTGATGTCTTTTTCTTCTCCAGCCAGCTTCTGTCTGTGGAAGCACATCTGTGACCCACATTTTGCTTTCAAAATCAGCAAAACAGAGGTTTCCAGCTGGTTTCCTTAATCTCCTACTTTTGTTCAGGTTTTAAAATTGCCCTGTGTTTCCTAGCCCCGAGTTCCTAACTAGCCTGGTCAGTGGAGTGCAGCACATAGGGCAGGTCTGATCCTGAACAGCCAGGGCTGGGGAGCTGCTTTGAGCAGCCTCCAAACTTCAGGGGGGAAATGGAGCAGACGGAGCAGCCACACGAGCTCCCATCTTCCATGTGCATCTCCAAACAGGCACAGGCCCTGCAAGATGTGTAGGCAGAGACAGTTTGCAAGTACACAGACACAAAAAAGCCAGGATCCATCTCGAGTCATTCTCCTCCTGCTTCCAAGTACTTTGAAAGATCATTTGATAATGCCAGGGCTGTGAAACTACCGTGAAAATGTAAAATATTTTAGGCCTGCGTTCAACCCATCCATCTTCACACATATCAGAGGTGTCAGGGCCAGGAAGCTTGTTGCCTTTGGCTCTCTCAGTCAGGAGCAAAGGGAGGGAGAGATGCCTCCAGAGAGGGGTACAGAGCTCGCTGCTCAGTGGAGAAGGAGAGATGCAGTTGTGCCTGCTGCTCTGCCACAGCTGTCCCCAGCCCTGACATCCCACGCCTGTGCCAAACACCAAGCCCAAACTGGACAGCATTTTGCTTACTCCATCTTCCAGAACTGCTCTGGCAGAGCCTCATAGAAAAGCAGCACCAAACTCAGAATAAAACACTGCAGTGCCTTCCTTCTCACCCCATCTTGTGTGGGACTGTTCTCTGATCTATTTTCCTTGCAAAAGAATTGCCTTTGCACAATGCTATCACCTTCCCTACTGATACTTGCTGCATCCCACGTGCCTGCACACACTTTGCATCAGAAGAGCAGTTAGGAAAGTAGAGCCAGATGTTGTTGTGATGTGGTGAACAGCTTCCAGATTGAGCCCTGACAAGGCAGCATTGAAAAAGCTGCCCAGAGAGGCTGCAAAATCTCTGTCCTTGGAAATGCTCAACACTGAGCCACCTGAACTAACTTTCAAACTGAATTTAACTTTTAAGTTGGCCCTGCTCTGAACAGGGGGATGGGCCAGATGAACTCCAGAGGTCCAACCCACACTGGCACTTCTGGATTTGTTTTGTTCCCATCCCTCTTTCTCTGGTCACTCTGTGTTTAAAGGAGAGAACGGGCGTGCTGCAGTCTCCTGTTCCAGCCATGCAGCCCTGTGATAACGTCCACATCCCTCAAGCCCCACGGTCCAAACGTTTGCCTCGCTGGTGAAGCCAGCAAGGTAAATGTTTAGACCGTTGGACTTGTGGGACGTGGACATTACGCACGACTGTCAGGACATGATCCATTTTAATGAGCTGCAGTTGTTGCTGGCACGCTCAGACCGGAGAAAGAAAAAATTATAGGTCAAGGTTTTGCATTAATATTCCTGTCAGGTGCGTAGATTCCATTTTCCCATCACAGCTTTGGCATTAGAGTGTGGGTTTCTGCACACCCGTCGTACTCGTGCCTGTCACTTGTGCTCCCTTGCATTTAATTGGAGGCAGCAGCGGCAGAAATGGAACAATCCAATTAATTGGGATGGCTTGTTTATTGAACAACCCACCTTTGTGTCTTGGAGCCCAATAAAGCAGAAAGGGAAAATACATCACAAGTGTGGAGGTAGGTACATTTGTCTGAATTTATGGTTTAATTTACCCCAGTAAGTAAATATGCCCACCAGCTCTGAATAATTAAGTTCCCCCTACAATAAGCAAACAAAACAGTCCATAAAGGCCAGAGCTGGTTGAGTGGAATCACCGGCCTTGCTCCATTCCCACAAATGAGATGCAAATGCATTTCCAGGGAGGAGCAGCTCT